GGTAATGTTGGTCGGATCCATTCGCTGAAGCTCGATGCCGATTGGGTCATGTTGGCTCAGAGCTTCTTCACAAACGGAGGAGCGTCGCCGCCATATAGAAGCTCAGAGAGCAGCAGCTTCTGCCTCACATGACAAAGAGGAATTCACTTGTCGGAGCACCCGCCAGAAGCCGGTCACACCCCAAACGGCCACCGCCGATGATATTAACAAACCCACGGCGCAACAGAGACATATTTACGGGTGATGAAGAAACTATGCGTACGGTGAGCAGCAATTCAAACCCCCAATTCGATTCTCAAACCCTTTCCTTTTCAGTCCGGTGATCGAGCAGCGATTCAATCATACGAAACCCAATTCAGCGATTCAATCATTTTTAAAGCTAGAAAAAACTAAGTTCGACCAAACCCAATTCAGTTCGGCGAGCAGCGATTCCTCAACCCACCTCGGTGAAACCCAATTCAAAACTGCAAGCTTCACAAGCCTTGTCACAATCCACCTCATGCCGGTCATTTCATTCCACCAAACAGTCTCATCGGTGTCCTCCATTGAAGCATGCCCGCCGTCGATGGCGAAGAATCAAAAGCGAAGTCAATTCCTCCGTCGCCACCACTACCGAAATGGATGTCGATGGTGAAGAATCGAAGGCGAAGTCGATTGCGGAAGACGACGCTGAAGCCCAGGTTAATGTCGGCAGCAGGTGTCGGATTACAACCTCTACGGTATGGCAATCAATGTCACTCAGTGGTGGGACGTCAGATTACAGGCTCGACGGCGTCTTAATCGGTGGCGAAAATCAGTGTCTCGTGCTCCAACGGGTGGGCCAGACCCAGCCCTTACAGCCTCTCCAACTTGCACTGTTGATCACCACCGTCGGCGCCGAAACCCTCGACTGTGACTTTCTGGCTTCCATAATCCTCGACCCTTGGGCAAACTGAAATTCTGGCCTCTCTTAGTCGACAAACCACTTTAAGAACATAGCAATTGAGGGCTTGAAGCCAGCAAAATGAAGGACCAATTTGGGCTCCACAATTGCTTCAAGGGTTGAGAGAAAACAATGATATAACCAATCTCTGACCCTATAATAAAATTACATAGGTCTGTGTGTGGAAGGAAGAAGATGATATATGAAAATATATATAATGAAGTGACAGAAAGGACATTTTTGTATACTTGAGTTAACAAATTAAGAGCAGTTTTGTAATTGCATATTGATGAACGAGGTTAAAGATGTCATTTTAGTCATTAGAAGGGCAAATTTGACTTTCTAACCATTTGCTGATGCTGACATCAGCACACGCAGTGAGTTGCTTAACGGCAGGGGGTAAGTTGCTACACAAATCAAAACTTTAAGGGAGATAGGTGAAATTATGAAACGTAAAAAGAGTGTAAGTAGAATATAGACAAACGTCAGATAATTTAGGTAGAATTAACCCATAATATTTGTATGTATGTATGTGCTACTAGCAAGTTGCAGGCTGAAATATCAGTCTCCTGTCTAGCTCTATGATTGAGGATTATCAATACATCAAGATTGGTCAATTTGAGAAACCACTTTTATGATCCACCAAATCACTATTATTATTATTATTATTATTTGTTTTGTTTTACAACGTTGGAACTCTCATAATCACCTTCTGAATTTGTGGTTGTAGTTGTAGTTAAATTCACCCGCGAGTTATATTTATCGATTAAATTTAGATTCAATTTTGTTTTTTTATAGTAAATAATTAAATTTCAATCTGCTGTCTCAGAGAAAATCGAATCATGACCGCTATTATTGCCCGTACTAAAACGTCAACAAGGCATAAGCACTGTTATAAAATGTGTTATAGATTGCATTGGAATTTCAGGATATCGGAGTAAATATTAAATGCTGCTGACTAAATTATTATATCTATATGATTTTTTAAAGGGCTTAAAATCATTAAATTCTCAATAGTATTAGTTTTTTTTTATTCTAAAATTTCAACTTATTTGTAAAAACTCTAATGGTATTATAAAGTTCTTACTTTACTTCAATTTTACGAGTTCGAACATTAACTTAGTGACAAAACTACCTGACGAGAACATGGGCCAACCATGTGCTATCAATTTTTATTGGGTTAAAATCATAAAACCCCACTTCTTTCAAATTTTGATCATAAAATCCCAACCTGTTTTAAAAAATCCCTATACTTATAAAAAGTTATCACACTGCCCCCAATATCCGTGCCTGACCCATTAACCGAGTTATGAAATGACAAATTTAACCTCACAATTTAATGTTAAATTAAAAACTAATAATTATTTCTTAAAATTATAAAAATACCCTTTAATCTTCTTCTTCACCTCCTCTCTCTCTCAAACTCTACCCCTCTCTCTATCAAACAAAATTTTTGTAATTTTAGGTATTTTTGTATTTTTCAAAAAAAAAAAAAATAGTTTTTAATTTAACATTAAATAGTAAGGTTAATTATGTCATTTCATAGCCTGATTAACGGGTCGGATACATATACTAGGGCAATGTGATCACTTTTTATAAGTGTACGGGTTTTTTTGAAATAGATTGAGATTTTATGATCAAAATTTGAAAGTAATAAGGGTTTTATGATTTTAACCCAAATATTTGTTTTATAGAAGAGGATAATGTTATAATTTGTAAAATATGAATTTTTATTTTTTAAAAAATAAAATGGTATATCATAAAGGAAATTTAGTAATTTAATAAGTGCTTAACAGTTCATTAACAAAATTGGGGCAAGAATTTTTACAAACAAGTCAAATTTTTATGATAAAAAAATAATAGTAATGGAGTTTTATGATTTAAGTCCTTTTTTAAAACTTCAAATACCAACGGGTTATTGGTCTAGCGGTATTAGCCTCTTACTTTTCAAATGGAGATCAGGGTTTAAGTCTCAAAGAGGGACATGTGTATATGAGTACCAACTAGGAAAATAAATAAATAAATAAAATAAAAAAACTTCAAATATTCTGTTAAAAAAGTTGCATTGAGGATACACACACAGTTCAAAGCGTCATTGGCCAACATTTTCTCTTAGTCTATACACACAGTTCGATGAATAATTGAGGATATTTAGGGTTTATTTATTTATTATTAGATGATATTTTTTTTGAGAAATATTATTAAGGTATAAAAGTCAATAGTTTTTTATTAACCACTGAATTTAGACAATTGTTTACATGAAAAATCAAACACATCTGTTAAAAACTATTTCAATTTAATTATCAATAATGAGAGTTCATGACTCAACCACTCGGCATCACTATAAATCTCACTTGATGTGGCCTAAATCTAATTTTAAAATATATATATATATAAATCAAACACATCTTTAAAAAACTATTTCAATTTAATTATCAATAATGAGAGTTCATGACTCAACCACTCGGCATCACTATAAATCTCACTTGATGTGGCCTAAATCTAATTTATATATATATATATATATATATATATATATATATATATATAGTTAGAAGAATTGATAGGCATTCCACATCAAAATATGTTATTGGGACTTGGTAATTCACAAAATAGAGACCTCAATTACATTTTAATGAGCTTGAAGTTGAAGATGTTAATGAAAATATCATTCCTGGATTGCAATTCCTAACACCTCTTGACTCGTCTAGGATTAAATTAATTATTTGATACTGAAGAGGCAAATTGATCCAAGCCCAAATGTAAGCCCAACTTCGTAATCCGATCCAGGAAGAAGATTGGGCCAAGAAGAAAGCCATCCAGATTGTCAGAGACCAAGCAAATTAGGCCCAAGCCAAGAGAGCCCATAAAGCCTAAGACATAGAGGTCAAGAAAGAGGATTAGCGTAGAAGAGAGAGACAGAGAGGGTGTGAAGCAACTTTTTGTACCTACAGATACATCAACAAGGCTGATCTAGCAAAGCCCAATCATCTAGGCAACATCTAAAGTCTAAGTGAGGTAGGGAAAAAAAAAAAAAAAGAAGTATAAGTGAGGGTGGTATTAAATCCAGCAATCGAGTCCTAACTAAAAATTGATAATATGGGATTAATATGCTTTCACCTTTCCATGCCATCATGTATGCAGAATGGCGGTGGTATTAACTAGAGCAATCGAGTCTTGCCTAAAATTTTTAGGAGTGTATGTATTTGTTTTAACGATGATAAGTGAGAGACCAAAATAGCTGGGATAATATGAGGAATATAGAAGAGTGGATTGAGGAAGAGAAAACCAGTCCAATCTGAGTGCCTGGTCTAAGCCTCAAAATTCTCTTTACTACCTCTTTTATAGTCCTTAGGTCATTCAGGTGGTATTTGTTGGGCCTCTGGATCAGATAAGTCAAGGCCCATGTCCTTTTATGGATCATGTTGCCCTAATCCTTGTCATTTCGGTTCTGCTACCAAGTGTACACATTTCCTTGAATGACCTAAAATGGGGCTAGCTATAAAGGTGATTGTATTTAGTCGAGCCTGTCTTTTGCTCTTATCCTCAAATTGGGTCTTGTCTTAGCAAGACATACCTAATTTTTCATCCTCCATTGCAAAGTCCCTTCTGCATTCTCCCTGGCCTCAACGAGTCCTATCATTACTCTCCGCTGTTCATTTTACTTAGGAGAATGTGGTTTGGTCAGATCGGGGTTCAAGGCCCGCTGATTGACAATTTGTGGCTCGGTCGGATTAAGGTTCAAGGTTCATCGATCGACAGTTTGTAACTTGGTCGGATCGAGATTCTAAGCCCATCGATCAACAATTTGTAACTTGGTTAGATCGAGATTCAAGGCCTATCGATCGACAATTTATAACTTGGTCGAATCGAAATTTAAGACCCATCGATCAACAGTTGCTTTTGCTAAAATAGGTTCCTGACATCGACCAGGTGTTGGTCATTTTATCTTCTTGCTCGAAGTTGTTACTGATATAGAGTCAGCTTGATTTGACTCTCGGTGACGTGGCCTTATCTACATCCATAGAGTGTGGGATAGATATTTTAAATAATGATATTAAATGAGATTTGGAGATAGGTTTTACCAAGCCAATCTACCCAAGTAACCCGAAATACAAAATAACAATAATAACAATAAATTATAAATTATAATTTTTTTTTTTTGTTATGTTTTGAATCCTTGGACAACTCGAACACGGGTTCTTCTACATTGGCTATTTAATTATTTGGTGCCCATACATCATCTTCTTCATGAGAACAAGTTGGATTTATCATTTATTGTAGGTGTGGACAGATCATCCACTGTCTTAGGTGACAGGTTGACCTGTTCAAGTGCCCGCGTTTGCAACTCCATTGGGTAGTCCCTAACACACCCAATACGCGGACCAACGCCACTGGTCCACTTGCAATATAAGCGCTTGGGCAAGTCAAACACTGGTTCTTCTACATTGGCTGATTTGGTGCCCATACCATCTTCTTCTTCATGAGAAGTTGTGTCAAATTTATCATTCATGGACCCATTGATATTGGCGGCATATATATCTGTTGATATTTTAGCTGTGGACAGATCATCCACTGTCTCTGTCTTGGACTCCTCATCAATAACTTTAAATGAGGTGCTATCATCATCTACTGCACTTCTCTGCAGTAAAATGGCGAATATCAGCTATGTTAATTCGTCGCAAGTTAGTAAATCCCAAAGATTAACCATGTAAATTAATGTTCATACATACAAATGCATAAATATAATGGTAAAATGGTTAATTACCTTAACGTTAGTCAAGTCTACATGATATTCCTCGAGGAAGCTAACGAATTCCTTGAAATTGTCTTCAGTTTGGTGATAGTAATCGCAATATGGCAATATTGCCTGAGGTAAAAAATATCAAAGAATAAGCTCAAACAGAAACAGCACTATATACACACACACACACGTGTATGCATTTATGTTCGATTTGTACCTCCAGAATCCCGTCATAGGCAACCAATCTACCAGCCGCTGTTGTAGCCCCTCCGGATAGAAAACTGGTGTGCTGAAAAACACCTTCCTTTTTCTGTCCCACATACAAAGTCCTCGATGTGCTGAGGACAAAAATCCACTTAGAACCTTCAATTGTATTTAGGAGAATCCCATTTAGCTTGTATATTAGCTTTCCGTTGTCCACAATCACTTCATATGCTTCCCTTTCTTTCTGTGACATCAAAACACAGAATGTTTGAGATTCATAGAATTGTTTATGCTCGCTTCTATTGCAAAGATCCTCTTATTAGTGTACTTATATACGTGTTCACACACACAATTCTATAATTCACATTTTTTTGAGCTGCTATAATTACAACTATAATTGTAATTGCACACAGTAAAAGGGATAGGACTTACAGGTCCAAGATATCTGATGCATTGACGTTCTAGATCAATTCTTAGGCAACTTTGAAGATTTAGTTCATTACCATCCCCGACATCCAACCTTCATTTCAAGAACAGAAATCGAAAAGGTTAACAACATTGTGTAATTATAAATATATATATATATATATACACACACACAATTGTACCAGAGGAAAAAGATGGTATCAACATAGCATGCTTACCAATAAAAGAATGATTGAGTGCTCGTGCTATTGGACCATGCATCATAGTAAATACGTAAATTGGGTCCATATCGGTGATGTGGATCAATCTATAACACAAACGAGGAATAATGAACTATGTTAGTCTATTATAGCTCCAATTCCAACAATTAGAAATTCTATCAAAAATGCATGGAAATATATGACCTTGCATTTAAATAAATAAGTAAAATTTATGAATTCTTATTCATCGAAACAAATATATATACGAATTCTTGTCATGATCCAACATTCTCCAAGGCTCAATTGTTTCCCCAAAGACACATCAACAAGAGCAAACAAGCTTACACTTGTATGAAATTATCCCCAATTTCCATTGAAATAACCGGTCTACTCTTGGTCCAAAATTATCTCTATTTGGATGGAAATGCACAGATGTGCATCAATGGAGTCAATTAATATTTGAACTAGTTATATATTATCAAGCATGTTTTATAAGTATGTGATCTTACGGCTTCAAGCCAATATTGTGGAGCTAGTTTTTGAGCATTCTCATCCTTGGATAAACCCTTCCCAATCTGCAAAAGGCAATAGGATAATATTATTATTTAATTGTACCCCAAATAAAACTGTGGTAATTTGTAAGGTACCTATAACAGACCTTGGTTACCCTCGTCCTCACACGTTCCCACCGTGAGACAGCAGTTTCTGGCTTCTCAATGTTGAAGAATGACACCGAACTCTGTTTTAGAGCTGCAAAATCTAAGGCCTTCCACCTAAAATATTTAGATAAAAGAAAGAGGAACCATATAAATCAATAACTAAAACAGTTTTCAAGAAAATGGTAAATAAAAGCAGAAGTAATGAATTATAGATTATGTCAATACAAACCATAGCTCTTCAACCACAACTGCACAATCTGCAAGGTTCCTTCTAGTCCTGTAACTCTTGTAGACTTTCTGAAGCTGAGTTGCAGCAGCATCAAGCTCATTAACTGGTGTCGGAGAAAACATTATGACAGGTTCAGGAAGTGAAATCGGAGGCTTTGAATTATGGACTGGGATATGATCTTTGTCCTTTAAAGACATCAAATTCATAAACTCTTTGTCAATAACCAAATTATTGAGTTTAAAATGAAGAACAATTCTATGAGTTTAGAGGTAATAAAATAGGGTTGTCAAAAGAGCATACACAAAACATGTCTTACAACTAAAAGTTGGTCAATATAGTTCTGATAATGATAAGTAAATGTCCCTCCAAGAATTGATTGAAGAATCAAAGAGAAACAAACCCTATTGTTCAATCACACACAGTGAAACAAAATTAGGAAAAGAGAGTTAAATAATTGAATAAATGGGTGATACCCCCAATCATTTTCTAGGGCAATATGATTCATTAAGCAAGTCAATTCCTAACAACAACAGCTTAAAACTCATTTTACACTCAAAATCAAATATCAGCTAAAACATCCAAACCAGAATTATAACTACAACCCACCAAGAACAAAGAACTAATTAGTAACATACAACATCATAGAACATTAAACCATATACCCATTAAAGATCAAATAACTATTATCAACAAAAAATTATGTGAATAAAAATCCTTTACCCTGAAATTCATGACCAGTTCTTCAGAAGCAGTTGAAACTATAGGCCTTGGGCTAGGGAGTCCCATATATGCAAATCTAGGCGAAACCCGGATCTTCGGACTTGGTCGTGGCGAGGGAATCGGAAGGAAATACTTTGAGTGACCAGGTGTGAGCTTAGGTGAGAGGTTCACCTGTTCAAGTGCCTGCGTTTGCAACTCCATTGGGTAGTCCCTAACGCATCCAATACGCGGACCAACGCCACTGGTCCACTTGCAAGATAAGCGCTTGGACAAGTCAAACACTGGTTCTTCTACATTGGCTGATTTGGTGCCCATACCATCTTCTTCGTGAGAAATTGTGTCAAATTTATCATTCATGAACCCATTGATATTGGCAGCATCTATATCTGTTGATATTTTAGCTGTGGACGGATCATCCACTGTCTCTGTCTTAGACTCCTCATCAATAACTTTAAATGAGGTGCTATCATCATCTATTGCACATCTCTGCAGTAAAATGGTGAATATCAGTTATGTTAATTCGTCGCAAGTTAGTAATCTAATCTCAAAGATTGACCATGTAAATGGTGAATAAGAGGCTTTGAATAATCTTTAGTATATCAATGATTTTCTTTTTGGAAAGTATGTGACATATCAATGTTAACATATATAAATGCAAATATATATCCAATCCACAAACATAAGCTTATGGCTAAAAGGTAGAATAATTTACCTTAACATTAGTTAAGTCTACTTGGTATTCCTCAAGAAAGCTAATGAATTCCTTGAAATTGTCTTCTTCAGTTTGGTTATAGTGATTGCAATATGGCCATATTGCCTGAGGTAAATATCAAAGAATACGCTCAAACAAAAACAGCACTATATATATATACACACACGTGTATGCATTTATGTGCGATTTGTACCTCAAGAATCCCGTCATGGGCAACCAATCTACCAGCTGCAGTTGTAGCCCCTCCGGATAGAAAACTAGAGTGTTGAAAAACACCTTTCTTTTTCTGTCCCACATACAAAGTCCTCGATGTGCTGATGACAAAAATCCACTTAGAACCCTCTATTGTATTTAGGAGAATCCCATTTTGCTTGTATGTTAGCTTTCCGCTGTCCACAATCACTTCATATGCTTCCCTTTCTATCTGTGACATCAAAACACAGAATGCTTGAGATTCATAGAATTGTTTATGCTCGCTTCTATTGCAGACGTACACGTGTATTCACACACACAACTATAATCCACGTTTTTCGAGCTGCTATAATTACAACTATAATTGTAATTGCAGAGTAAAAGGGATAGGACTTACAGGTCCAAGATATTTGATGCATTGTCGTTGTAGAAAAATTCTTTGGCAACTCTCAAGATTTAGTTCTTTACCATCCCCGACATCCAACCTTCATTTCAAGAACAGAAAACGAAAAGGTTAACAACATTGTGTAATTGTATATATATATAGATATATGGATATAGTGCAAAAAGGTATCTGTGTGGTATAAAACTCCCATATACTATCAATTGGTCATTGTGCGGTAGAAAATGACGATAACCCTCACTTCAATTGAATAAATTAATAATTATAAATAAAGTCAATGTAAAATGACTCTTTTATCCAATTTGTGTAAAATTGTGTTTATTTGGGAGAAGAATAAAATAAACCTCCATTTATATAAAATTGGGATAAGCTAAACCAAATAAACCTAAAACTGAATATAATAAAAACCGAAACCAAACATTCCCCACCATGGCCGCTGCCTCCAGCCACCTCCTCCCACTGTCCACAATCATCTCTCTCCTCTCTAAACCTATCAACAATAGGGTTCCGATGGGTTTAGACAGGAGGTGGCCAAGAATCCAAGCCCGTCTCATACTCAGCCCATCCAAAACCCTGTTCCTACCAACGCGTCAGTGACCTAATGGTACCAGACTCCTACTTTCTAGAAGGAGATCAGGGGTTCAATTCTCGGTGGAAGCATGTGTGTGTGAGTACCAACTAAGCCACAACAAAAAAAAAAAAAAAAAAAAAAAAAAAAACCTATTCCTTAGACAAGGAATTCCTATTACCTTATCTTTCTCACACACACAACCCTAGCCGCAAAATTGGAATCGCAAATGGGTATCTACTCGTCGTCCTCCAGGTTAGGCAAATCGTCGGCTTAAAACCAGTCTCTGATTGTAATCGACTGTCAGCACAAAAGTAAAGAATTGCAGAGGAGGATTTCACACCCACAAGAACTAATCATTTGTAAGTTTTTATACATCAACTGCCAACAGAAAGCAAACTTTTGGGCTTCGGCAAGGTCGTCGATTGCCAAAAAGTTGTATTATCTGTAAATTTATGCACTCATATATATATATATATATGGAGGATGTGTCCTATATGTTTGTTTTGCTGTAATTTTTAACGGGCTTCGAGCTCGGCTCGAATAGCTCGTGAACTACTTTAAGCCGAGCTCGAACACTATACTGTGAGCTCGGCACCTCGACTCCGAGGCCAGCTCAAACACAATTCTCTAATAGCCGAGCCCCAATAGCGTTTTGGCTTGGCTCATTCAGATGTATCATCATCCTATTTTGTTTGTTTATTTTTTTAAATCAGTATCCTTAGGACCTCTTCACTCTCCGACTGTGATCGAGAAACCCAACAACTGCTTTTTACAGTAATACGTTGCTTTTTACGGTGCAATTTATTGCAAGAAGTTACCCAGCAACAACTTTTTACTGCTTAAATTGCAAAATAAAAATAAAAAAAAAAAAGAAAAAAATAATGGGTCACAAGTGTAATTGAACATAAGTAATAAATGGGAGGGCTCTGTAGTTAAAGTCAAAATCTAAGAAACAAGGGTTTTGGGTGAGGGGCAAAATGTGAATCAAAAGGGTAAAATAGGGTTTTCATTTTTAATTTTTGTCAAAAAGTGGTCAAAAAGGCTTATTTGCACCTTTTTTGAAATTTATGGACTAACAAACTCATTTTCAAAAAGTATGAATTAGTTCTGCACAAACCCTATATATCAGGGGTTTTTTTGCACTTAACCCTATATATACACAATTATATCAGAGGAAAAAGATGGTATCAACATAGCATGCTTACCAATAAAAGAAAGGTTGAGTGCTCGTGCTATTGGACCATGCATCATAGTAAAAATTTAAATTGGGTCCATATCGGTGACGCGGATCAATCTATAACACAAACAAGGAATAATGAACTATGTTAGTCTATTATACCTCCAATTCCAACAATCAGAAATTCTATCAAAAAATGCATGGAAATATATGACCTTGCATTTAAATAAATAAGTAAATATATGAATTCTTGTCGTGAACCACCATTCTCTAAGGCTCAACTACTGTTTTCCCAATTACACATCAACAAGAGCAAACAAGCTTATGCTTATACGAAATTACCCCCAATTTCCATCGAAATAACTATATATCTATTTGGATGGAAATGCACAGATGTGCATCAATGTACTCATGATGGTCAAAGTTCCGAGTTACTGCATCAGATTGATTCTCAGCCTAATTGACACAATTAATATTTGAACTAGTTATATATTATCAGGTAAGTTTTATAAGTATGTGATCTTACAGCTTCAAGCCAATATTCTGGAGCTAGGTTTTGAGCATTCTCATCCTTGGATAAACCCTTCCCAATCTGCAAAAGGCAATAGGATAATATTATTATTTAATAATACTCCAAAAAAAAATGTGGTAATTTGTAAGGTACCTATAACAGACCTTGGCAACCCTCGTCCTCACACGTTTCCACCGCGAGATAGCAGTTTCTGGCTTCTCAATGTTGAAAAATGACACCGAGCCCTGTCTTAGAGCTGCAAAATCTAAGGCCTTCCACCTAAAATATTTAGATAAAAGAAAGAGGAACATATAAATCAATAACTAGAAACAATTTTCACGCAAATGGTAAATAAAAACAGAAGTAATGAATTATAGATTATGTCAATACAAACCATAGCTCTTCAACCACAACTGCACAATCTGCAAGGTTCCTTCTAGTCCTGTAACCCTTGTAGACTTTCTGAAGCTTAGATGCAGCAGCATCAAGCTCGTTAACGGGTGTTGGAGACAACATTATGACAGGTTCAGGAAGTGGAATCGGGGGCTTTGAATTATGAACTGGGATATGATCTTTGTCCTTTATAGACATCAAATTCATATACTCTTTGTCAATAACCAAATTGCTGAGATTCAAATGAATAACAATTTCTATGAGTTTAGAGGTAATAAAATAGGGTTGTCAAAAGAGCAAACACAAAACATGTCTTACAACTAAAAGTTGGTCAATATAGTTCTGATAAAGATAAGTGTTCCTCCAAGAATTGATTGAAGAATCAAAGAGAAACAAACCCTATTGTTCAATCACACACAGTGAAATCATTTTCTTGGGCAATATGATTCATTAAAGCAAGTCAATTCCTAACAACAACAGCTTAAAACTCATTTTACACTCAAAATCAAACATCAGCTAAAACATCCAAACCAGAAACAAAACCAGAATTATAACTAGCTGCAACCCACCAAGAGCAAAGAACTAAGAAGCAACATACGCCATCATAGAACATTAAACCATATACCCATTAAAGATCAAATAACTATTATCAACAAAAATCCTTTACCCTGAAATTTATGACCAGTTCTTCAGAAGCTCTCTCTATCAAGCTCTCTCCCTCTAAAACAAGGCACAATTTAGTATCCAATAACTCGTGTATGGTGCAGGCAAAATTAATCAGCCCATGACTATGTACATATATATATATATGAAATTACATATAGGAGAACTTGGGGGCTGCATTTTAAGGTCACGAGAAGTCAAAAGTGTTTGAATTTTTAAATAAGTTGTGATTTAGAATTTGACTCTCACAATAATTCCACGTACATCCATATGAAGGTTAGTTTGAACATCAACTTTAAATACACCTTTTTTTTTGTTTTTTTGTTTTTTTTTTTAAAATGTCTGCATCAATATTTTTAAAGAATTCATCAATTTGAAAATTTAAGACTTTGCCTTCATGTGACCGTAAATGGAGCCCTTAAGTTCACGTATCTGTAATTTTCCATATATATATAAATGAAACAACCATGACTATATATAAATTAAGCAACTATGACTATATATAACCATCACTAAATATATAAATCATACAAACGTGACTATATATATTAAACAACCATGATGGTTGGTATATTAGTATTAGTCATGGTTTGAAAAATCAAAGTAGTCTGCCAAAACCTTAATGCAAAACAAAATTAAACAACCATATAAAAAAGAAAGTTGGGTCTACTGGACCTTCGGTGAAGTTCAACAGAAGGATTGAAGAAGCACCAAATTCAACCTCGTGCCAATTAGTGACTTTGTTCATATATCTTCCTTGTTATTTCTTTTTGTCCTTTTACGCCCAAACAAGTTCTTTTCTACCAAGACTACCATGTATAAACAATCAAATATTGTTTGACAATAGTAGTGTTTTGTAAATGTGTGGAGGGAAAAATTCCCTACCAATAAGAGCCTATCATTTCAGCAAATGAATTACAAATTTTTTGACTTATCATAGTTGACAAATTTTTACACCTACAAGATGCAATGGTAAAAGTTCGGTACAAGTTGTGATGTTTTGCAAGTTTAGAAACAGCCGTCATGATTTACCTGTTATCTCCCTGGAGCATCCATGGATGTTAAATTAGTACTATTGGGTGATTTAAAGTTACACCCCCATCTAAAACCTTAATATTTTAAAGTCGTTATTAATATTAAGTTAATTACATCTCCATCTCTACTAATATAAATACTGTAGGCATGTGAAGCCTACGGCACAAACTCTCAAGGAAAATTTTGTTAAGAGTGAGGAAAGAAAAAAAAAAAAAAAAATTTGTTTTTTTTTAAACCATTGAGTTTGAGTGTGAATTTTATACTTTTAGTTAGTTAGTTATTTTTATTATTATTATTTTTTATCTTTTAGTTTTACTTGATAGGACAGAGATGAATACAAAAGTTTCTAAAGAGAAGTGCAATCTTCAATAACACACAAATTTGATATATGGATTTAGTTGAATCTTGGAGATGTTGTTGCCATTTATTTTCCGTTTGCATGTGGGAGGTTTCAATAATTTTCTGTTTGCACGTTGCACTGTTTCCGGTCAAAAGTCTCTCATGCCAGGTACATTTGGCCGTTTTCAGTAAAAAAAAAAAAAAAAAACTCTCATGTCGAGTAAAAAACGAACACTTCGGAATCAATTCAAAAAATTTGTCAGCATGCCCGTTTGGCCCTTGGTGGTCTATACAGGCCATAAATGTTTCGACAATTAGTTCTACATAAAAAAATAATAATAAATAAATTAATTAAAATTAAAAAAAAAAGAAGATAAATCTCTTTTACCAAACACCGGAAGGAGTCACAGATTCTTTCTACCCTCCCTTTTTCATTCACTTTTCTATCCTTTGTACCAAACAAAGCACTACTCTTGATATAAGTAAGCTACAACTCATTCAAAAAAAAAAAAAGCTACAACATTTTTTTTGGTCATTCAAAGGCTCAAAGGCCTAAAGTCAAGAAGGCAATACAGAGGCATAAAGCCAAGCCAGAAAAGGCATACAAATCTTGAAGCAAAGCAAATAAATAAAGAACAGGCTCTAGATTTGTGGAGGAAACAGAGCCCAACACTCTGCAAATGCAACCACCATGGGAGAAAATAGCAAACTGGAGAGACCGAAAGGTCTGGCCATCAGCACAGCAACCACTCCAAAGGTACAACCACAAGGCGCTCCGACACACAAACATGAGGCGTTTACACATATAACAATCCTTCCTAAACGCTTCCTAATTGTTCCCCTACATTCTCTCTTTAAGTTGGTCTTTACAACAAAGGAAGTGGGAGTGGCTTACAGGGACGGACCTACCCCCTAGTTTTTTTTTTTTTTTTTAGTAATATACCCTTAGTATTTTGCTTTTTTCAGTTATATTACTATAAACACTAAAATTTTAGTGGGCTTTGGTTTTGACAAATGGACCCATGAAATATGGGCTTAATGTTTAATTAAGTTATTTAATTGGCCCAAGCTTGGTCCACTTAAATTATTCAATTAGCCCAGCCCAGATAATTAAATAAAAAGATCTTATTCCTAATAAAATATATTTGGAATTATTATATTTAAGGATAATTATCATAATATAACCGGCCCGGCCCAATTATGATTTTATCCTTCTCAGAAGATGACACGTGTCATCATCCTATTAATCCAAGAAGCCTATAAATAGAGGCCTGAAGGAAGAAGGAAGACACACAAATTCAGAATTCAGAAGTCCAAAAATCCACAGACTCAGAAATCCAGAAACTCATAAGTCAAAGACACAAATTCAGAATCCAAACCCAAAAGCGAAGAACATCAAGCACATCAAATCGTGCTGTTCTTCATCTAAATTCCACGATTATTCAAGATCAAGCTCATGCAGCCCTTGGATCCAACCAACCAAAAAGGAGATCGAATCAAAGGACCTTTCTTTTTGTAAAGAATATTACAAAGGATTTTACTCCATCATTATCAATTAATAAAATATTATATTTACCCCTATTTTGTTTCGCATTAGCAGACTAAAAAATTTGTGTGTACAAATTTCTGGCACGCCCGGTGGGACATCCTTTGTCTCTTATCTCTTTCTTCTACCATCAAGTTTCTTCTCTATTAGGTTCTATGACTCCCCCTAAGACTTAGACAGACAAGAAAGCCCAAAAGAACATTACTACTGCAAAGGTTGACGCCAAAGCCACCATAAAAAGTGGCACGAAGGCCAAATCAAGTGATGGAAGTACCTTGGTGAGCCCTGTGACATGTAACAAGTCCCATGCAATCGAGTCATCCAAACATAAACAAGACTTGGTGAAAACCAATCCTGCAAAGCCGGCAAACGTGAAAACTCAACATGTCAAGAACCCTGACGTTGTTCCAGAGGAGATTCCGCCACCAGATTTACCTCATTCCGTCTATGATGCTCACTCTAGTGTCGGTTCAGCCCCAGAGTTACCACGTCAGACTTCAGAGCAATCAATCACTTCAAGGAACGTTGACTCTCAAAGCCTAACATACTCAGATGTGGTCGCTGTTATGATGACTGGAGCTGCCACGGTAGAGGAACAACTGACAACTTTGTCTCGTGCCATTGAGAACCTCACAAAGACTGTTGAAGAGAAGGACTTGTAAATTACTACACTGATGAACAAATTGGAAGTTCAGACCTTCGGTGAATCACCAATATAATATGGGCATCCTACAGCTTCCACAGCACCGCCAACTAGGAATCGTGTATCTTTCACACCACTACCATCTAGGAATCCTATATTTTCTACAGCAATGCCAACAGAGAATCCTAATTCTACCGCATAAGGTACTCATATGGAGGACCCCAAACAGACGCCGGTGATAGAACAGGCAGCTAGTCAAACCAATCATACTTCTTCAGTCTCTTCATTATCTGTCCAACAATTGCAATATATGATAACGAATATAATCCGAGCTTAATACGGAGGCGTCTCTCAAAGTACTCTCATGTACTCAAAGCCCTATACAAAGAAAATCGACAGTATGAAAATGCATGTAGGATACCAACCTCCGAAGATTCAGCAATTTGAAGGAAAAAGGCAACCCCAAGCAACACATTGCCCATTTTATCAAGACTTGCAACAATGCCTGAACTGATGGGGACTTACTAGTTAAACAATTTGTTCGCTCCCTTAAAGGAAAAACGTTCGAGTGGTACACTGACCTAAAGTTAAAATCAATTGATAGTTGGGACCAAATGGAACGAGAATTCTTGACAGGTTTTATAGCACTCATTGTACTGTTGGTATGATAGAATTGACTAACACGAAACAATGGAAGGATGAGCCTGTAATTGACTACATTAATCAGTGGCGAGCACTCAGTCTTGACTACAAGGATCGATTGTCAGAAATCTCTACTGTAGAGATGTGTATGCAGGGAATGCATTGGGGCCTTTTCTACATTCTTCAAGGTATAAAACCTCGCACATTTGAAGAATTGGCTATACGTGCCTATGACATGGAAATCAGTGTGAAATCCCATGATGGCAAAGGTCCCGTGGCCATAGAACCACCCAAGGATAAGAAAAACTGGAAGAAGAGCAACAAGTCGTCAAAAAACACTGCTAAAGAATCCA